ACATGGATGAAATAAGAAATATGAAACAAATAAAATACATACAAAGCAGAACACAGCTAAATGTATCAAAAGTATGTCCATGAGACAATGAAATTTGGTTTTTCATTTTTCCCCCTGTAAGAGGTTTTTATTTAATAGAATTTTTGGACAAAAAATCGCAATATATCGGGATATATCGTATCGTGACCCCTCTGTCATGATATGTATCGTATCGCCAAATTCTTGCCAATACACAGCCCTATCGAGGACCAGAGTTGGGAACCAGTGATCTAGTGAGCCAATATAAATATCAAATTTAAAAGACGTAAAGTAAAAAAAACACAACAGAAAGGAATGTGTGATTCCATGATAAATATGGGATTAAAACACATTTAAAACATATCAATAGGATTGATTCTCTCACTGAAAACCACTGAAGGGCAGTCAAATTAYTGCGAATTTATAAGAGAATCTGAAGTAATTGTGATAAAGAAAAAAAATAATTTTAAGGACTTTTTTGGCTTTTGACACCCTTTTAACAGCACCAGCATACACAAAAACAATTACAAATGCATGGAAGATCATCCCCCATGAAAACTTCCAAKGATTAAACCAACTAGTCACTATGCAACTAATGGCCGTTTAACTGAGGAATAATCAAATCAGAATCCACACGCCAAAACCTTTACTGCAAACAGGAAACTCAAGAGTTTCTGGAGTTTTTTTAATTACTAATTTCATCCACAGCAGAACAAGAGTACGAAAGTTGTACATTAAACTAGACAAACAAGACAAATTTGGTTTTAGTAACAGTTTGGTTTGAGTAGTTTTCTTGCCGATACTCACCCCATTTCATACTGGCGGCAGCAGGCCTCTCTGAAGTCGGTGACAGGTGAGAGTTCTGCGTTGATGGGTTGGCCGTTGAACCAGCGGTTGTTCAGGTCCATTACTGCTTTCTCTGCGTCCTCCTCACGGCGAAACTATAAACAGAAAATACAGTTTAAACAGTTCAGGCAGCAACGTGCAGTTTTGTCAGGTTCTTCTCTAAAACATCCACTTCACCCACCTTTACATAGACATTGCCGACAAGATGGTCGCCCAAGTTATCGCACACGTTCATCTCTTCCACCTCTCCGTACTTTTCCTCCATCTCTGTGAACACCTCCTGTACAGGAAATAAAATCCAACACGTAACTCTCCATTAAATCACTTAAGAGTTTACAGATATTTAGTTAGTTTTTTTTTCAGACCTAGAAAAACAACATGTGTCTATATTTTCCATTAGAARGAAAGGTGCAGCTATTGCACAAATTTTGGCCTGTAACCAGTGAACATCCGATGCATTGTTACAGCTCGGACACATTTTTTGGGCACCAACATGCTGCTACTGCTGCTTTTTTTTTCTAGCAGTGGTGACATCATACTGTATCTGAGAAAACAGGGAGAATCAAGCACAAAAGGTCACTCACCTCGAAGAACTCATCGTAATGTTCCTGCATTTCCACATCACTGACAGCACCTGCGAAACGCCAACAAGAGACAGTCAAGGACAAGCTTGTTAGGCGTTTCCAACATTAACAGTAAAAGCATAACATGTTGCTGTAATGGTTGTAGCCCGCAGACGTTTTAGTGTATATCTGAAACTAAACTTCACAGAAGCAAAAAGTCAAAATTAGTTTTGACTTGTTTTTTTTTTCTTAATTTAAAACAAATTTTGCAAATGTCTGATTTTCTTTGCAAAACTGTCATGACTGCAAAAACTATGAGCATGAATAAGGCCAGAAGAATCATGCAAAACAGCATGAGGCCAGTAACTAACTCTAGGGAATCCTGTGCCGCTTTAGACAGTTCGTGTTTCTACACTGAACCAGATTTATTCAGGTTTGGTGTAATAAAATGAATCAGGTGCAGTCGGTGCTGGAGGGTCCTGCAGATAAAGATAGAACTTACASTGTAAACCATCAGCAGACTGGGCAGTTTGGAAGGTTATGAAGGTAAATGTTCAAGAGGGAAATGGTCTGAAATACAAAACACAAGCTTCTGTGATAAAAATCAAACCAAATACAGCTGAGCTGGGGAGGGAAAAAATGTCATTAGATATGTGTGATGTGTGGAAATTGTGCCGACTAATCGAGAGGCGAAACCGCAACATAAGGACAGAAAAAAAAAAGGAGGACATCCCATTGTTTTGCTGTTTAGTGTTGTAAACTAACTGAACAGCAGGTGTGAGCAACGTTTTCTCTCTACGGGGCCATTTTCATGTCATTGAAGCTGTAAAACTGCCACACAGACAATGTAACTGTAACTTGGACAAAGTGTGTTGAAACATTGTTTCTTTTTTTTTTACTTTATTAAATGTTGAAACTAGACCACTTCTGTTTTTAGTGAAACGTTTAACAGACAAATAAAATTTGTTTCAATCAAATTAGAAATAAATTGCCACAGCGTCTTAAGAAAAACCAGTTGGCTAATTTTAAAATCTCAGATTCAATAACACACCTACCTGTGTGAGGTGAGGGGGAGGGGGGGGTCTACTTCAGCTCTACTAACCTGGGCTCAGTACAGTTACTGTTCACACCCCCAACTTATGATTCTAAGTATTTCCAGCTTATCTTCTGGAAATTAGTTTGCTTTGGCATTCCTTTTCCCCTCAGACACTTGTTTTCTGCACAGTGAGTCACATTAAGGCTCAGCTTCTAGCTGATGTTTGTGTGTTTTTTAATGGTATTAAATTGTAAACAATAAATTACATCTGGACCAGAGAACAGTGGTGGTAAAAAATAMTTGTTGGACTTACAGCGAGAGGCGTCTGCCGTCTGAGCGCTGTTCTGGGGATTACGGTAGATGTTCTGAATCAAGATAGTCTGCAGGAAACAGAGACAGCCAGTCAAACAGGACATATGACTTAAGTTTAACAACAGTGCTGGTGACTGTTTCTATTTTATTTGTTGACAAACAGGCAGAGGTGAAGGCACAACGTGATATGATGCTGGTAGCTAAAAAAACAAACAAAACAAAAGAAACCCCAGAAACAGAAAAATAGTGATCGAAGAGAGTTTGAGCTGGTGTGCATTGGTGTGGTAAATGTCTTCACTTACTGTAATGTACAAAAAGCATGAACTAAGTTTTGTGTTGCTGTATACAGATTTGCTTCAGTGAGCAGATGTCTGTTTAAATCATGACATGTTAAAAATGCTAAACACAAAAGCTAAAATGCTCCCAGAAAAAAATCAAAGAACTATCAATATTTGAAGGAACATATATGGTTTCAAACTGAAATCATCCTATGTTGCGATATGACAAGACTTAAAGCTGTTTTGGTCAAAGCTTACAGATGACATTATGTAATTTTGCAGATAGCACTCAGAGGACATGTTGAGGTTACTCTCAGCTACTGCTAAAAAATAGCTCAATATATGTAAAATTGAATGAGTGTCTACTACGTCTGTTCCTAATTACTAGACACTTTATTTTTTATGTCTGTACAGACATACCTTAGGAACACGTAGTAGACTGATTTTATAGACACAATGAACTTTATTAGATTGAATGAGTGTCGTTGTTTTGTTGTTTTCTAAGGTTGATTAGCTTTGGTGGCCATCTTAAAATGGAGCAAGTCCAAAAGTTAATCAGATGTACATAAATGTGTGTCTAAWGATTACTTTCTGCGGCTTTCATTAAAATATGAACATTTTACTAACATGACAAATACAATACATGGGTAAAAACATCATTGGTCGTCAACATCGCTGCAGCACGCCTTTTAACACGGACCAAGAAGCGTGATCATATCTCCCCGGCGCTGGCTTCCCTTCATTGGCTCCCTGTGTGTTTTACAATTGATTTTAAACTTTTACTGATGACCTATAAGGCTCTGAATGGACTGGCTCTTGAATACCTGTCTGACCTCCTGCAGCCCTATGTGCCCTCCAGATCTCTTAGATCCAGTGATCATTTGCTCTTAGCCGTCCCGCAGTCCAGACTGGTCCACAGAGGTGACCAAGCCTCTTCAGTTGTGGCTCCTAAACTGTGGAACCAGCTGCCTCTTCACATCAGACTGGCCTCAACTCTTGGAGTTTTTAAATCTCTTCTTAAAACACACCGGTTTTCAAAAGCTTTTAATACAGTTTGAGAATTGTTTCCCTATTTATTTGGTCTGTTTTTATGGTTTTATCATTTGTGTTCTTTTAGCAATGCTTTGTTTTCGTTTGCAATATGTGAAGCACTTTGGCCAACGGCAGTTGTTTTTAAATGTGCTATTTAAATAAAGTTGATTTGATTTGATTGATTTGATCATTGCCTCCCACATTTCATGCCAAAGGATTAAAAACTGACAGAACACTCTCTTTCATAAGAAAACACTTACAAATTAAACTAAAAAGAATAATAAAACACATTATGAATAAAACACTGTATCCTAAACCTTTGATCTTAACGCCAGGGGAAAGTTAGTTAAATTAGACAATAACATTTTCAAGTTTGTGGCACTTCTGTWATGTTTGAGCGAGGATACTGAGAAAAAATAAAAACAATTAGAAAAC